CCACAGGGGCAACATGGCAAGACCCCATCTCAAAAAAAAGAGGAAGAAACCCTAAACCACAGGAGTGTTTATTTTCCATTAATTGATGAACTGTTGGGCATACAACTGGCAGAATAGTTCCAGGAAGAAGGGTCTGAACCTATCTAAATGTGTTCTTATACTTCTCCCCTTTCCTTTTAACCACTTAATCTGTCTGCAAACACTACTACCATCAATTTTCAAGCATTTCAAATATTTCCCTTCTAAGTGAATATAGACTAGGGAGAAAGTGAGGGGAAAACACGCCCAAAGGCACCAAAAGCAGAAACCCTCATCTCTGTCCCTTTCATCAATTCACTGGACATGCCAATAGTCTCAATTTCTGCAAAAGAACACAAACTCCTGCATGAAAAGGGCACCTGCATTATAATACACAGGACTTAAAACTTAACAGAAAGTAGGCTGGAGAGATAGCTCAGTGGTTAAGAGCACTGACTGCTCTTGCAGAGGACCCGGGTTCAATTCCCAGCATTCATATGGAGGCTATGAACTGTTCTTAACTCCAGTTCCAGGCGAATCCAACACCCTCTTCTGACCTCCGTGGCATTGCCCAACACGGATGCACTCACATGCATGCAGGCAATACACTCATACACATAAAATAAAAATAATAAAATATATTAAAAACTTAACAGAAAGTTACTTTATCTCACTCTCATCTAAAAAGCATCTTGAGGTCCTATCAATGAATTTACAAGGTCTCGGGAATGAGTTACTGTCAGAGAAGTATACGGTACTATGTTCTGCTACACTGCATGGAGGTCAGCAATACCTCACTAGACCAAGGAGCTGTATCTGATTCAGAAATGAAACTCAATGTAAATATTCAAGCCTAAAAAATAAAGCCAAAACATCAACTCCAGGTAAGTAGTCTAGTTAGGATGGTAAATCACTACACGATGTTATTTTGAAGAAATAAAACTGACATTAGGGCTGGAGAGATGGCTCAGTGTTTAAGAACACTGGTTATTCTTGCAGAAGACCCGGGTTCAAATCCCAGCACCCACATGGCAGCTAACAACTGTCCATAACTCCAGTCCCAGAGGATCCGACAGTCTCTTCTGCTCTCCATGGGCACTGCACAACATGGGTGCACTTACCTACATGCAGGCAATATATGCATACACATAAAATTTTTTAAAAAATTAATTTAAAAAAAAAAAACACAAAAAAACCCACATTACAAAAAATAAAAAAAAAATTCCTTACTGGATTCACTAAGCCTAGGCATAGTGGCTCACCCCTCTAATCCCAGCACTGAGGAGGCAAGAAAATTGTAGCAAGTTCCAGCCTAGCCTGGGCTACAAAGTGAGCCCCTGCTGCAAAGCAAGAATCATCCTTACCACTACTTTGATGTGTACATTAATCCAGTGGTCAAAGTGCACTTTACACACTCCGCTCTGTGCCTTGAAACAGGGGGACGGCTATTGGTTTGGAGGCATAAACCCAAGCCAATTCAGACACCTGCACAAGAGCCACAGAAGGAATCTTACCCTATTTAACTGTGCCAGGTCCTAAAACTATCCACCCATCTTTCCAGAGTACGTTCTTTAAGTGCACATAGCATTAAGTGACTTCAAAGCAATGAGAAAGTGGTCACCCAGATGAAGGCAACAAGTTATCTTCATCACTACCATTACTTAGATGATCAGAAATAGGCTCAACAAGTCTTTCCATAACCTAACAAAAAATATTTACAAATAGCTTTTAGAATCTTTTAGAGGAAAATGGTAGGACAAGAAGTTTTGTTTTTAGGTTTTGCCTTAACCTTACCAAACTGAATAAAAATTTATTGGATCAAATGCACAAATGCTGAAATGAGTCTTGGCAAGTATGGATTTGTTAAAGTTAGTTTTATTTTGTCAAAATAACATTGTGTAATGACTTTTCATCCTAACTAGAATACTTTGATGGAGTTCATTATGTTTTAATTTTATTTTTTTAGATCTCAATGCTTAGAGTTACAATACTAAAAAAAAAAAAAAAAAAAAACTTTTTCCCTCCCCATTTCAACACATAAAACTTGAATCTAAATCAAGCCATTTCAATCAACCTGGAAATTTCTTAGTGAATCCATGAGGTCATCTACATTCTGCAATAGTACCTAACCATGGATGTTCAGAAGTTGGGATTTAAATACTAATTTGTTTTGTAATACTTTAGCTTATCAACCCACTAGTTTCTAGTTTTCTTTCCTGTAAAGGAAGCAATCAAACACTCTTGGTAGGTACACTTAAGACTACACAGTTTGCAAGCCTTAATAATCACTTTTTGGGGGGTCTTTTTTATGAGACAGAGTTTCCCTGTAGTCCCAGCAGGCCTGGAACTTGCTATGTAGACCAGGCTGGCCTTGAACTCACAGAAATCACCTGCCTCTGCCTCCAGATGCATGTGCCACCAGGCCTGGTTAATAATCACTGTTTAAAAAAGTTTCTGAGGGCCGGAGAGAGAACTCGGAGATTGAAGAGCTCTGGCTGTTCTTGCAGAAGACCCAGGTTTGAATCCCAGCACCCACATGGAGACTAACAACCCTTCATAACTCCGGTTCCAGGAGATCTGACGACCTCTTCTGACCTCCACGGGCACATAGGTGCACTGCACTTACATATATGCAACCAATATACTCATACACATAAAGTAAAAATAAATAAGTTTCTAGTGTCTAAAATTTTTTGCTTCACTTTGACGTGATCAAGATAAAAATAAAAATCAGGTGCCAACAAACAACTTTAAAAAAAATTATAAAATATCCAAGTGACAAATTAAAAATGGACACTGCAAGTCTGGAATCTGAAGTTTTAAATGTAAAGTGCTTCCTTAAAAGTTACCTGAAAACTTACATTACTACGACATCCTACTTCTGGAGGCAAAGAACTATCCAAACATAATGGTGCCCACCATGACATAAATTCACAGAGGGACAGCTTTTTCTTTGTACTCACCCTTAGGGCCTCCATCCCAAACCCAGGCTAGTTGCAAGAAAAGATATACTCCAAAGAGTTACTGAAACATAAGTTCAAGAAGTGGGAAAAAAATTAACCCTTACCACATCTTGTAGTAAAAAAAAAAAACAAACTATTACTAATATAAACTTTGAAGGCAATAAAAAGAGTAGATCTCAGTGCTGAATGCTTTTCATTTAGTACTGTAGTAACTGCACTCACAGGTATTCCAAGTAGCAAAGCAAATTCTGCTTACTAACCAGGTAAGACACTATCCAGTAAGTTAGCAAATGTTACACAAGTCAGCCAAGTACACTGATCAGCTAGATACAGAAAACAGTAATTCGCCTGAACAGAACCTCAAGACTAAGCTACTCAAATCAGGACTCATCAAATAATGCATATAAAGTTTTCCCTACAATATTTCATGTTACTGGCTAAGTCAAACGTAAAACCTGTTACCGTATTATAGAAAAACTAAAGAGCAAAAACTACACACATAAATACACAGAGAGACAGTAAACAGAAGGGAAGTATACCGAAGAAAAAGGAATTTTTTAGAAAATTAAACTACCAAAACTTCAAGGCTGAAAGTTCGTGGAGAGCCCATGTCAGAGCCTTAGGTAGGGAAGACTACAGGATTCACACTTCCCAACTGTTGCAGGTTAACTAACTCACAGTTCAGAATGTACCCAAAAGCAAAGAAGTAAAACACTGCTCCAGCCTCCTAGTTCCATGCTCTAAAACAAAGCTCTTAGAAGCATGATCTAGAAGTTCTCTAGAAACTTAGAGAGTACATTTAACTCCATTATGCACTCCCACTGGCAGATGGAGGGATGACGTTGAGCCTGTTCTCGGAGTTTAGGAGATGCTTGTAGCAAGGGGGAACATCTTGTGGACTGTCAGATGGCCAGCCATTCTTCTTCTTCATTATCCTGGCATCTCAAGCACCAACGACAGCAGAAGAGGAGTTCAGTGACCATCAGGATAACAGCATTAAACTATCAGTAAGCAGGGAAAAGATCCGGATGATGGGAGGTCTCACTGACTTTTTAACAAAGAGGCTGAGGAAGAAAATTTCTAGAGCTTATGAAACTGAGATATCATAGAGATGAGAAGAAAAACACACAAACCTACCAATCACTTCTAAAACTTGTACCGCGGACTCTTTCAACTTGTACTCTCCGTTTCTCGGGACCTAATTCCAGAAAATCTTTTCTCTTTCGTCCTAAGGTGACAACAAATCCTAAGACCGTGCCTCTGCCCTCCTCACCTGAAAACCCAGTTTGAGGCATTCTGGTTTCACGGCAAATAACTGAAAAATGTCAAAAGAACGGCGTTCCACACTGATTCTTAAAGTAAGGCCTGGGAGAGGAGACCGAAGAACCGTACTCAAAATAAAATAATTTTGCTAACTTCACGTTACACGTGAAATCCTGGCTCTCACACCCACAAATCAAGATTTTTCTTCCACCCAATTCCTCCACAGAAAATCTTGAGCACAGGAGCCAAAAATCTCTCAAAGTGGGAAAGTAGAGGAAACAAAAATGAAGTGCAACAGAGCGAGAGGCATCTGAAACCCCTCATCTACCAATAACAAAAAAAAAAACCAAAAAAAAAAAAAAAAAACCAAAAAAAAAAAAAAAAAAACCAAAAAAAAAAAAAAGTAAAGCTGCAAGGACGCCCTGACGACACAACTGCACTGGCATTTCCCAAATTAAACTGCATGGGGGGCAACAATAAAGGCCCATGCAGCACCCACTTCCGAGCTCTAATTCCAGAACACACATCGAAGTGACATGACACAGTGTTGCAACGAAATCTATCAGAAGGCAGAGAAAATGGTTGGGGCACTGGCCGGCTTCCACCAGCCCATTCAAACACCTTTAAAATTCGCCCCGGGCCGGGGGGGAGGGTGGGGGTGGACTAGGAAGAGGCAGAGACGCACAGCAAGATAAAGGTGCACCGAGCACCTAGGATGAAGGGAAATGGGGAAGGCCGGGGCGTCCCGACACTAACCTGTGCCATCGCTGGCCGACGCCGAGAGGGCCGGAGACGAGAGTTTAGGCCGCTTGGCTGAAGGCGGCCCCGGTTCCACCACATTCTCGGCCATTTTTAATTCTTTCGGAGACACAGGCGAGGAAAAGGCGAATCCGCAGGAAATCTCTTCTTCGGCCCGGGGTCCCCGCCCCGCTCTTAAGGGTGGGCTCGGGGGAAGGGGGGGCTCTGCCGCCACCCGAGGGGGGTGGGGAAGTTCCTTTTTTTCTTCGCCCGGTCGCCGCGGCCGGGAGAGGGATGCGGACTCGGCAGAAACGCTAGGGCCAAGTGCGGAGGGACCGGCCCGGCCAGGCCGGGAGGACGGCTCAGCGACGCCGACCCGCCGAGCACCGCTCTAGACGCGCAGTCTCCAGCCGGCCGCCGCCGGCCTCTGCCCCGCCGAGGTCTCCCGGAGCTCCGCCGCCGCCATCAGCCTCTTCCTCCTCGGCGCTGTCCTCCTCCTTCGCATCGCCACCAGGAGGCGGGGGCGAAAAGAGGGGAGAGGAGGCGGCGACCAGAGACACTCACCTCCTCCCGGCGCCCCCGCCTGGGCCTGCGCCCCCACCCCGCGCACCCTCCTCCGGCTCCTCGGGCTCCTCCCGCTGCCGCCGCCGCACCGGCCCCTAATGGCCGCACACAGCTCCGCCGAGCCGAGAGCCAGACTGGCGCCGCCGTCGCCTCACATCGCGCGGCGGACGGAGGAGAAGACGCGGCACCGCCACCGGGCGTGAAGCTCGCCGGTCTCGGGGGCCAGGGGGGCCGGGCC